GCAAGGACAGGTTTCTTGGCTAATGGCTACAGGACACCTTTCCTCACCCTCTTCCAGCACCACTCCCCTCCTTAATTGCTCACTTGGATTAAATTTCAGTTTAGTACATGTATACATGAAGTTTTGAATAAGCAAGTCCAGCAAGCAAGCCAGCAACAAGTTCATATTTCATAAAAAAAAATGGCATAAACTGCCATATAAATCCAGCAAATCTAACAAAAGGTTTATAACAAATAAAAGCATAAATTGTAACTGTCATATATATCTAAATTCAACAAAGTTGATAGAAAAAAAAAAAGCATAAGTTGCTGCCAACATGTCCAGCAATAACTTCATTAAGAAAAAGCACATAAAAGAGTCTAAGAAGTGGCAGATGCATACATTTCCATCCAATCCAACAAAGCAAACTCTATAGCTGCAACTTGAGCTAGACTTGATTAATAATTTCAAGTTGAGGAAATAACTTCCTGAAATAAAAACAAATACCCCAAATTAACAAAATTTTAGAAAAATTTCTTTATATAATAATTTATAAAAAGAAACATTATTGTTTAAAATTTACCTCAAACTCATCATCTTCATTATCAAATTTACCTCAAACTCATCATCCTCATTATCATTCTCCTCCAACTCCTCAAATAAATTGAAGAAATTCCCATTATTGTCAGAACCTGAATTTCAAACATAATAAAAGTTTAGAATATATATTCAAAAATAAGAAAATAAAAGAAATGCATGCAATGCTTAGGTGTAGTGAGGATAAAACACTAAAATTACTAGTTAAAAATACTCAAGCACTAAAGTACAAAAATTAAATTAAAAATTACTGATTAAAAATACAAAAATTACTAGTTAGAAACACTAAAGCACTCAAGCACAAAAATTAAATTATACTAGTTAGAATCACTAAAGCAAAGCACAAAAATGGTAGCTTTAGAAACTGCATCTAATTGATACCTAGAGTTGGAGAGTTTGAAAAGAATCTGAGGTAGAGCTGCAGAGGAGGAAGCCACGCGACAACAGAAAGAGAAAGAGGACAACCCAGCCTTGGAGGAGCTGGAGGTGAGCGGTGCTGACTTGCAGTGACGGGCTGATGGTAGGGTGCCACGGTGAGAGGCTGGCTGAGACGACCCAGCAGCAGCCTTGGAGCTCAGCTGGAGGTGAGTGATGAGTTGCAGGGCAGCAAGGGCCAAGGGCTGCGTTGAGTTGCACGGTGAGAGGTGAGAGCTGAAGGGAAATCGGAAGCACCGATTCATACTTCACAGTGGGCCGTGGAGATGAGGCCAGAGTTTGAGCATGAGTGAAGAGTGTGGCAGAGGATTAGAGGAGAGGAAAGTCTTGGAGCTCAGCTGGAGGTGAGCGGTGAGTTGCAGGGCAGCAAGGGCCAAGGGCTGCGGTGAGTTGCACGGTGAGAGGTGAGAGCTGAAGGGAAGCCGAAAGCACCGATTCACACTTCATAGTGGGCTGTGGAGATGAGGGCAGAGTTTGAGCATGAGTGAAGAGTGTGGCAGAGGATTAGAGGAGAGGAAAGTCGACCGAGAGGCGAGAGAGGAATGGGAAATCCCTAATTCAGAATTTGCAAGAAGCGGCAAGCAAAAAAGGACTGAAAGTGAAATGTCTTTCTGCTAGGCAGCTAGGGTTATATGTAAATTGGGCTGTAAATTGGGCTGTAAATTGTGAATTTGGGCAATTAAGTTTAGGAAATAGGAATATTAGATTCACAAAAAAAATTGGGTTGGGCTAAGAAGTGAGAATTGGGTTTGGAAAATTTGAAAAAAGAATGGATTGTGAAATTTAAGTTATGTTGGTATTGGGTTAGCTAATTAGGTTGGGTAAGTAAAAATTAATTGTTAATATATGTACAAAATATATATATAAATAAATTTATATTTTTTTTTATTTTATATGGATCCCCACGGTTCCTCACGGAGTGGAGAAAATTCCCCGCGAAAT